TCAAAGCTCATGTAATGTTAATATGTTTTTGTTCAATGTGTCCCCAAGAGAAAACAAACTAAATGCATGAAAGTTAAAGCATCATTGTATTAGTTGTGCCGGAAAAGACAGCTCCTTTAAATATCTGCATGTACTGACTGTTTATCAGAGTTGCATACTTAATAAACAGTCTTGATGGCTCAGTTGGTAGAGCTGCCATTCCTTAGTGGTCAACGGTTCAAATCCTGGCTGAGGGCCATTCTGGGTGGAGTTTGCATGTTCTCTCTGTGCATGCGTGGGTTTCCTCCGGGTGCTCCGGTTTCTTCCCACAGACAAAAAACACGATTGGTAACTCTAAATTGTCCCTAGGCGTGAGTTAGAGAGTGAATGGTTGTTTGTCTAGTTTGCCTCCATGTGTCCCTGTGATGGACTGGAGACCTGTCCAGGGTGTCCCCCGCCTCTCGCACAGTGACTGTTGGATATGGGCACCAGTGACTCCACAAATTCACCACATTGTTTATTGTATGAAATTATAAGTTCATAAACTGGACCCAGAAAACTATAAAATTGTGACACTGCTGCCCTCTAGTGGTTGACAGTGAACATTGAAGAAAAACACTAAAGTTAATTTATTGGCTGAGATGCACAGAGCAGCAACATTTAACAGGCCACAGTGTGTATACTCACAGTCACAATATTCTGGTGTGTGTGTGTTTTTGTCTTGTTTGTTTGTTTTCCTACAATTTTTGCACTCCACGTACTATTATTATTATTAGTAGTATATTATTACTATTACGCATATTATTTATGCTTTTTTTCTTATATCAAAACAAATCAGCTCATTCAGGACATAACTAATATTATCATACTTCTATTTTGTATATATTTTGTGAATTTCTCCCTCCTTCGGGAACTGTTAAATGCTTGTCTTATCTTTTTCAAGTTTACAAAATTTTTCTCAACAGAAATAAAGATTTTTGCACTTTCAAAAACATTGCTCTCTTTGGAATCTGCTTCAGCAGATATGTTCTTATTTTATCTTCTTATGCTACTTTCAATGTTCAGATAGCATTCTGCTACTTTTAGTTTTTAGCTGTTCTTTTGCTACATTTTGCTTCTATCTAGCTTTTTACTACTTTTGCTTTTAGCTACCATTTTACTACTATAGCTTTTAGCTAATTTTGCTTAATTTATCAAGCTTTTGTGAGTTTTAGCTTCTGTCTAGCCTTTTACTAATTTTATTACTATAGCGTTTAGCTAATTTTGCTACTATTAGCTAGCTTTCTGCTACTTTTAGCTTCTAGCCTTTTACTACTATAGCTTTTAGCTAGTTTCGCTACTTTTAGATAGCTTTTGCTACTTTTAGCTTCTAACCTTTTACTACTTTTTGATTTAAACTATCATTTTTATTACTTTGTATTATTTATTACTACAGTATAGCTTTTAGCTCATTTTCCTATTTTTAGCTAGCTTTTTGCTAGTTTTTAGCTTCTAGTCAGTGTATTGCTAGTACTTACTTTCAGCTAAAATTTTGCTACATTTAGGTAACATTTTTATGCTTTTCACCTTTTAACAATCATTTTGCTATTTTTGGATTTTAGCTAGTGATGTGCCTTTATTTTAGCTAGTGATTTGCCTTTATTTTAGCTAGTGATTTGCCTTTTTTAATTTTAGCTAGTGTTTTGCTCCTTTAAGCTTTAACAACTTTGTTTCAGCTTCTTCAGCAAATTTCAGCAAAGTCCTTCAGTGCTCAGCGTTCGTGCTGCATTTTCACAGAAAATTAATTTTCTCTGGTTAAATACTCCGTTGAAAAGATTTTGAGTAAAACGTTTACTGCTTCTGACTGCTGTGAAGTAGTTCATGACACCTGGAGCACAATGAACTGAACTGCTTCTTTTGTTGTTGTTGTTTTGTCCTTGTACTGTTGTAATTACCTGCTGTCCATCCTCTGCATCCTTGCTGCCCGTCAGCTCAGGTTTGCTCTTGCTGCTGCTCTTTCGTCCGCTGCCATGAAACAGGACATCCGGTTTCCTCCTCAAACACTTCCTGTTCCTGCTCAGGCTTCGACGATGGCGACTCACCAGGAATTCCCTATATTGTAACGTCTCAGGAAATTCATCATCATCATCATCATCACTCTCCTCTCCTGTAGACGTGGAGGAGGAGGCCTCGCCCTCATCAGAGCTCTCACTGACATCAATCACCTGGCTGTCAGAACTGCAGCCATAATCACAGAACACAATGGCACTAGGTTTGTGTTTCACGATTCTCAGCACGTCCAGCGAGCAGTCCTCTGATAGGTTCACGGACACAGGCAGATGGTCGTCGCTGCAGGTTTCTGCTGGAAAGACAGATGAGGTCTCACAGGATGTCACTTCCTGCTGCTCAGGTGCTGCAGGTTTACACTCTTTTATATTCAGCTCTTCAGACGCAGAATTATTACAAAAAGCACCTTTAAAATCCACTTCAGCTGCCTCTTTGTCCTGAACTGTCCCAGGAGACAGGTCTGAACTCCAGTGGTGTCCATTCTGCTTCAAGTCAGACTCGGCTGCATCACAGGAAAACAAGCTGTCCATCTCTAGACGCGTCCATTTTTGAGCATGGATAGCCACAGGTTTCAGGGAGGCACCTAAAGGAGCAGGCCCAGACATGGCTCTCGGGTGGGATTTAGGAGTTTTGAGATGGGGGGTGGGGGTTCTTGTCTTTGCAGTTTGCTCAGAGGGACATTCACAGCCTGGAGGTAAAGGTGCCTGTTGGACCGGACCTTCACGCATTACTTCACGTCTCACCGGGTCTTATAGAATCACTGAAAGAACCGACAATCTGGACCTCGTGTAAACACCACGACTCCTTTCACACCTGTGCAGGTGAGTGAAGAAGAAGAAAGAAAAAGACTGTCACTTTAAACAAACCAACACAAGTTCTCACACGTGCACATTATAAAGAATATATGCATGTAATAACAACAAATTCAAGTCTGGATGTGCAAAGACATTTACATTTTCCAGCCCCTCAAGATGCTGCTGAGACAAGCCTGCAGGAGTTTACATCACAAATTCTTGTTTCAGAACAATCCCTCAACAAACTGTTCAAAATATGGCACCAGTTCAGTGCCAGCGTAAAACACCTTGAATGCAATGTGATGTTGCGAGATGCCCCACTCAGAGCAGGTGCTGTGACTCACAGCTGCTGCCGTTTCAACTTTTAGCTCAGTAGTTGTGAAACAGAGTTAAAGACATTTTCATGTTTGCAAAGGTTGATTATCTGTGGCAGCCAGCCTACTTGCAACGGTACATCCAGTGATCATTTCCTTGAAGTTTTGTTAAAATCCTTCCAGTTGTTTATGAGATATTTTGTTAACAGACAAGCAAAGTTGACTTTAAATCATTAAAGCAACATTTTTAACTAAGCTCTTGTGCAATCTGCTGGTGCTCAGAAGATATTTTGGAAATCACTCTCAGCTTCTACCACACCAAACTTTAGGTCAATATCTGTAGAATTAAATAAATTGGTACCACTTTACAATAAGGCTTATAAAAAGTTTATACATATGTGTTATTAATTCCTCTATAAACACTTTATAAATCATTAATACCTGCTTACTATGCATTAATTAAAGGTGACAGACAAAACTGACCAGTTTCTTACCAAATAGTGAGCCAAATCTGTTCACCTATATATTTCATTGATAGTTGTTCTATTAAACAGACTATGTTACCTTGTAAATACAATAAACATTTGTAAAACTATTTCTTTAGCATATAATATTGTGTTTTATCATGGCATTACAAAAGTATCTACAACTAAGATTATATCCTAAAAACATAAGTTTACAAATGCTCATAGTGCTTATAAGGTAGTAACTTAGTCTGAAATGTTTAATATAATAATAATAATAACTTTTAATAATGATATATAACAAGTCTAGATGAAATAGGTGAACAGATATGGCTCGCTGTTTGGCAAGAAAATGGTCAGTTTTGTCTCGATCTCACCCTTAATTAATGCAAGCAGTTATTAATAATTTATTAAGTGTTTATAGGGGAATTAATAATGCATCTATAAACTATTTATTAGCCATCTATAAGGGGAGTCTTATTGTAAAGTGGTACCAATAATAAATTGTGTTCATTGTTGTGTTTTCTTCGGTCAGTTGGGGTGGCCACCATCTTGATTCATACTGAATCTAAAATTAAATCAGTTGTAGATTATCCAAGGATTCATCATTAAAATGTGTCCAGTAATTCATGAGATATTTTGCTGACACATGAACACACACACAGACATGAGTAAGAATACTATCGTCCACCTTTGTCTTTCAGCAGCAGCAATGTTCAAATGATTGTATGTGTAAATGATTAAACTGGGGAGGGGTCTGCAACCTGCGGCTCTGGGGCCACATGCGGCTCTCCGGTCCCTCTGCAGCGGCTCTTTCAAGCTTTGACCAAAACTAACATAAAACTGATTTGTTTTGTTTTGTTTTAGCAGTTTTCCAGTCATTTCTTTTGCAAATCCATGAATAATAGTACACATACTGGCTACTAGTTTGCCACTTCTTTTGGCTGACGTAGTTTCACGGTGTGCTCTTTCTCTCAAATTCACCAGAAATTTTTGGAATACCTTTAAGACCTGTCGCTGAGAAGAGATATGGTGAGTCAATTTGACACAAATAAATAAATAATAGTCACAGCAAATGGAAGTGCTTCTTTTTATTTTAAAATTCAATTACATATCCAACAAACTGGACTAATTTTCAAATTCACTTTAACTTTATGCTTAAGTCAAGTCAAGGCTCTTTATTGTCATTCGCAACGCATGTGGTGCATGAGGTGGAACAAAACTGTGTATACAGAGTCCCAGTTACATCAACAATATCAAAACTATTTAAAGTGTAAAAAGAAACAGTAAATAAGGATCTAAGATATAAACAGATATACACTGAACAAATGCAAAACGGTATGTTAAAAGGTCTAAGATATACACTAAACACTAATAGTGCAAAACGATACACAGAACAACAGCAGCACGATTCTCATAGTTTGGTTCGGCAAAGCATGCAACAAAAATATAGAAACAAGGCGCCAAAAGTGAAAAAGAAGTAAATCTACAACAGCATGGTCCTATTGGCAGAGTGGTTCTGATGACGGTGAGTTTATCTTAGCAACATGGTCCCATTGGCACCATGGTACTGTTAGAGGTGTGGTTCGGTTAGCGGCGTGGTCCTGTCAGCAGCTTGATGGTAATAAGGACCGCAGCAGCTGCCCTCCTAGACTGCAGTGCAGAACTGGGTCCGGCAGAAGGAGAACATCCTAGGTTTCCACGTGGAACCGAACGGGTCCGTAGAGTTCGGTCTGTGCAAGCAGATGGAGTATGGAGACAGCTGCCATGACAGGCCTGAGGCTGGAAGGACTGAACCACGATGGCAGGAAGGCAAGGCAGCGACACAGAAAACTCCACACGTGTGTCGCGGTCATACCCGTACTGTGGATGTGCAGCGTAGGCGCCCAAAAAAGTTAAAACAAAAGCAACAGGAACAAAAAAAGATTGAGTCGAAGCAGAAACATTTCACAGGGAACCTGTGAAGCTGCCGCTCAGCTGAACGTGGCCTTCTTGTCTCATTAATTACTACAATGTAAGATACTTAACTCATTTTTCCACATTTATAAAGAAAACTCGCATAGGCCTAAATATTACAGTATTTCATTTTTACAAAATTGATAAAAACTGTTTTTTTCTTCTTGACTTGTCATGTAAAAATATCAATAAATATTAGCAATCAGATATTTTTAGTTAATATACCCCATATGGGCCAAAAAAATACTCCCTTTAATGAACTTCAAGTGGTCCGCGGGCCCTCAGTTCATTAATCAAATTTGTAGCAAGTTTAGCGGCTCCATACACATTTTATTTAGTGAGTAATTGGGAAGAAATAGCTCTTTTAGTCATAAAGGTTACAGACTAAGTTTAACAAAATGATATAATGTACATTTTTTTATGAGATATTGGCTCATTTGAACGTTTTTAACCCAAAGTAAAATAGTTACGGTACAAAATAATGATAATTCAGGGTAACAAAAGCCTGCAAATGTAAAATTAATCCTAACTCATTAACTAGCTAAATATTCTAAATAATGTTTATTTTCCCGCAAAACATAATTTTAAACATGTTTTTATGGAAAGAACAAATTGAAAACTGCTGTTGAAAAGTTGAGCTACTTCAAGAACAGATACTTTTTATCAGTCTCATTAAAAAGGACTGCGTGAGCTCAGTTACCCTTCATCAGATAATTATCAGTAACCACAAATATCACTCGCAGACATTAAACGTTGAGAAACATAAAGAAGATTAAAAGAAATGAAAAGACGCGTGTCTCTGCATGAATCATTAGAAACACAGGATGTCAGTAACTCTTTGAGCTGTCCATTTAAATTCTGTCCGTATGTGCAAATAGCATCCACGTTATTAAATAAACTGTTAACATTCGTTTAAGGGTATAAACTGAAAAAGTAGCATACTTTAATGCTACACTTGATAGAATTTAAACTGTTTTGTGAGTTAAATTAAATGCAATAGACCAAAACAAAATGTACCTAATGCAATCCAGTAACATTCGGCTCACTACAATTTGCAGATCACTTTTATTTCCTTCTGGTTTTTGAACAAAGGCATTTTCCTCGAACACGTTGTTTGTTCCTGCTATACAGCTATTCTTAGCTGTTGGCTGCACACCCTTTCCTTGGCTTTACATTTTCTTTTCCTGTCATGCACACAGCAAAATGACTTAAAATGAGGTAAAAACATTTAAAAAAATACCTTTAAACTCTGACATAATATAATGTAAGATGGTTGCATAGCACCGATGTGTGAACAGAGACACGTTTCCTCATAAATCCTTCAGCCAGGATGTTTGAAAGAACTGCTGCAGTGAAACTCTTCACACAAAAAAAATGACTTCAAAACTGCCGTGTTAGAGAGCTTCAGGAGCTGCGAAAGCTCTTCGAAACATCTGGTGAAATGTAAAAAGAAAAAAAAAACGTTAAAATCAGATATGAACATACCGGGACATTTTGCCAGAACGCTGCAGTCCGGAGAACGAAGATCCAGCAGAACAATTCAGAAACAGATTATTTGGTAAAGATGTGAAACGCTGAGAGGGAGGAGAGAGGGGAAAAAGACTGAGGAATGCGTTTCCCTCCTACATTACCTCAGCGAAGAGAGGCAGGTCCACAGGCAGGTGTTTGAAATGTCAGTGTGTGAGTGTGTGTGTGTGTGTGTGTGTGGGGGGGGGGGGTCATGAAGTGTGGTTATAGTTTGTGACAGCCCAAGTGAGCAAAAGGGAAAAACATGAATCATCTAATTTTGTTGTGAAAATCATTTTGTATCTTAAAATGAAAACTAAATCAAAGGCCTATCACCCTCCACCTTCCATTTTACGGTTTTGAATTGAAGTCATCTTCAAACCTTGTGAACCAGAAGCAAAACTGCAAGATCTTGGGAGTTGTGTTAGCAGCACTCAGAGCAGTGCTAAAAAAAATCACTGTAATGCCACTTTAATTGGTGCTATGTGATTTATCTGTGCTGCTGATATGCTGCTGATTATCTCATGCTGCTGATTATCTCATGCTGCTGTATTCATTGGTGCACATTTGCTCACCACAGACTCGTGTTCGGGCTGCTGTTGTTATGCTATATTGTTTCTCATTATTAGTGTTTAGGGTATATCTTAGATCTTTTGGCGTGACGTGTGGCCTTCATTTGGCGTTTATCTTGGTGTATATCTTAGTGCACAGGTGTCAAACTCCAGGCCTCGAGTCTTGCAACTTTTAGATGCGTCTCTGATGCCACACAGCTGAATCAATAAGGAGATCATTAGCAGGACTTTGGAGAACTTGACTGCACTGAGAAGCTAATTCAGTCATATGATTCAGGTGTTTTGGACCAGCTAGTGCAACATCTAAAAGTTGCAGGACTCAGGCCCTCGAGGCCTGGAGTTTGACACCCCTGCGTGTATATCTTAGATCCTTTTATACCGTTTATTTTTACACTTTATATTTTTGCTATTGTTGAGTGTAACTGGGACCCTGCATACATAATTTTGTTCCACCTCATATACCACATGTGATGAGAATGACAATAAACCTACTTGAACTCTGTTATTTTGACAGGGTTCATTCCGGTAACTGTTTGCTTGGCTCCGGTAACTCTCAGGTTTACTAATGATAAAATTATGAACAAATATGACTGCCTTGAATGAATAAAACTTATATTGGATATGTAAACTGAAAATAATCACATAAACACTAATTTTAAACACAACAGCCACTTATAAGCGTCTTAATGTCACATAGGAACTGCCTCTTCAAATAGCATTTCTGCCTCTACCCTTGAAAAAAATCTCTGCCCCCAAGAGTGATGGAGGTGAGTGCCGAGCTAACCAGGCAGTCGTACGTGGGCAGGAGCCCACAGGCAGCCGCCAAGAACAGCTGAAGAGGCGCCTGGACATTTCACATGTGGAGTCGGACAACAATGAGCAGGGACAGTGTCAGGCTCAGAACCGTCAAGTAAGTGGGAGGGGGTGTAGGATGATAGAAGCAGAGTGTTTACAAATGTAGGTAAAAGTAGATGTTTGACAACCCATTACACCAAAATGCAGGAAATCACATCTACTTTATTCAAAATTTTCTGGGGAAGAACCCCCAGAGCCCGCCCACTGTTTGAGTTACGGCATGATCGGTTTACAGATTAAGCCCTGACTCAGAGCCAATGTTGAGGAACACTCTCAGCTACTACCACACAAAATGTTAGCTCAATGTCTGTAAAACTGGCTAAAGTACAGCCGTTTTTGCACAGTCTGAAGTCAATTAGTTGTGGCGGCCATCTTGAATAGGGTTACCTCGAGAAATTATTCAGTTGTAGATGCACATCCAGTGGTTACGTTCTAAGAGTTTAATTAAAATCCAATCAGTGGTTAACAAAACTATTTTTCTAATACTTCAGGCTGCCACTCAGACACTGGTAGAAACATTATCACCTTTTCACCTTTGGGCAATAACTAATTTTAAAAAGCCTCTTTGATGAAAAGGGCTTGGCATCCCCCAACCCTCCCCTCTCCCTCGTACACTGTGATATGGCTCAAGGGGACAGATTTTTCACCTTACGCTCACATTCCTCGACAGCTCATGAGGTAATGCTTTAAATTGTTCTTATCCTCTGTCAACTTCTTCACTGTCAAACCCCTTTTTAAGCAGCAACAGCAAAGCAGTCAATGAGCTTTGTTCAGCAGAGCTTGAGTTATGTCACAGGGCTCAAGTTTGACAGAAAAAAACATGAAGTTTTTGGAGGGAATGTCTTCAGTCAAGAGCAAAACCCTAAAATTTGTAACATTTTATGAAGGGGATTCTCCTGTTCAGGCATGTTCTGAGAGAGAGAAGATCTGGTCCCTAAAGAGGGATGTCTACCAATACTCTGTCAGAACAAAGCACATTTACGATAAAAAGGTTCTGAATAAAGTTTAGACTTACAAAATGTGTTCTGTTTGCAGGAACCTCGTGAGATTTTAGAGTGTTTATTATCTGGATGATTGATCTGCATGAATATAATTCAAGTACACGTTTCCATATAAGCTACGCCAACTTGCTGAGGCACGCTTCATATATAACATTCCTGTCACACACAGAGGTATTTTTATCTCAATCAGCCTGAGGAAGAGGAAAGAAACAGTAGATGGCCTTTGATGGGTTTGACAGCTTTTTTCAACTAGTCTGATGCAGAAGCAGAAGAAAAGCAAATAAAATGTCTTGTGCCACAGCTAGTCGCCATTAGGCAACACAAAAATGGCTATAACTCAGCCTATCTTACAGAAATGGGGCTAAAATGTGATGTGGTAGTAGCTGAGAGTCATTATCAACACATCCTCTGAGCGTGACATTTTGTCATATTTTACATCATTAGTAGTTTTCATTTGTTGACCAAAATGGTAACAACTCTGTCATTTCTCAACATAAGATGGTTTTAGTTTAAAACTCTCGCATGAAAAGTGGCGAGCGATTTACATTCCTTAAAAGGAAGTCTTTTCATTTCATAAAGTGTAGCTATACAAGAAAATACCTCAGCATGACATTCATTCTGTGTTAAGTAAGCTAAGCTGTCTTAAAAATGTGACGTTGATACTGTCTGAAATCTTTATTTTGACAACAAATATTGTTGTTCTTTCAGTGAGATAATCTGAATTATCCTCTAATTTGGTTGTTGCGTGACAGAAAACAGGGATTTAAGATTCTGCATATTTCCTGTTTAGTGTGTGAGGAACAATATGACTGAAACTGGACATTTTTATACGAGAGAATGTGAGGCAACATAAACTTGTGTGAAAGGAACCAGACTGCTGGGTTCTTAGACCAGATATTGCTTATAGAACAGAAAGATTTACTGAAATGCTCACACTTTTTTCACGGATGCAGAGGCATGTCTTGCTTAGTGTCAGATTAACTGTCTCACATTTCTTTGTGGTATTGGACCGTTCAGTGGAAAAGATGCTATCCTTCGTCCACAATCCTCCCATGGTCTCATCCATCCGGTTGTCCTGGGTCAAGGTTGGGTGTGAAGGACACTGCAGTACATCTGATGCATAGAAGAGGACATGGGCAACTTGGAAAAAAAAATTGAAAAAAAAAGAATGATTAAAAATAAACTAAATAATGATTTTATATTGCATAAGATGAAAGTGATCATTTGAGCTGGTACACCTTTAAATCTCTATAGTGGTTGGATATGTCTGCTTTGGCTCTTAGCAATCTGCTATTTCTGCTTCTAGCTAGCATTTCGCTACTGTAAGTTTTTAAACAGCCTTTTTGCTATTTACCTTCCAGCTAGTCTTTTGCTACTTTTTAACCAGCCTTTCAGAATATTTTGCATGTAGCTAGCAGTTTGCTTCTTTTAGCCTTTTAAGCTATCTTGTTCTTTTTCAGATTTTTTACTTTATTTGTACAATGACCAGGATTGACTTACTTAATTATTAATAAATCTTCGAGAGCAATGTCCTCACACAGTCTTGTTCTTGTTCCGTCTAATATATTCTTGATATTGTTATAATAAAAATGTTTCTGTCAACACAGGATGCAGCTGTTTTCTATGAAGATGCAGCAATATGCTGCGATAATAAGAAAGTTACTTTTATCACTGTTAAAATGCAGCAATTAAAGAAGTTATTGTTTAACAAAGTTATTACTATTGTTCCTACACCTTATGGGGTGACTAAAAGTTTAAACTTACACCCTCTCTCGAGCAGACAGTGTTCACTTTTTCACCACGCGTATTTAGAAATTTTGACTCCTTTCCCTTTCCGTAGTTGCAGGAAGCGCAGCAGCGCGGTTGGTTTTGTTTCGCGGGAGTTTCTGAGTTTAGCTACCTGCTGGCAGCTTGTCAACTCCGACGTTATATTAGTTTACTGAATCGTTGTCACAATGAGTTTGTGGCTGGACAAATATCGACCAACTTCCCTCGGCAAGGTCGACTTTCATAAGAAGCAAGCGGCTCAGCTGAAAAACCTGGTGAGAAGAAAACGACTTATGCTAATTGTTTCCAGGCTAGCACAATCACAAACCGGACACTAATTACTCGTTTAGCACCGCTACAAAACAGATTATTCCCGTGTTGGTTCATGTGTATGCTTGTATTATTTGCACATAAACATATTTAGGTTTCCAAAGTTGAATGCGTTCAATTTATGCGTAACTATGTTATGATACAATCCAATACAACTTTATTTATAAAGCACTTTCAAAACAACACAGTTGGCCAAAGTGATGTGGAAAGGATGACTGCTCTCTGCAATTTTGAGTTCATTTTACTTGATCACTGTAAAAGCTAGTTTAATTCATAAATTGACGTCACACAGTTGGCTAAACACAAGGATAAACTAATAAAACATCATTTTGGGTGTTTTCTAGTATAAAAAAATTCAGTAAGTCATTTTCTATGTGTTGTTTAACATCTTTAAAAACATTTTATTTAGAAAAGTGAGCATTCCTAACTGGTTCAGAAGTGTTTTGGAGCATACATGCTTTATTTTGGAATTTAAACCAGTAATTTATCATATTGGACAATATTGCATGTGTATTAGTCATTTTAGAATTAATCAGTAAATCATTCAGTTTTGTTTTCTAGAAAAGGAAAGTGCATCATAATTATTTGTCTAACCTGCACAAGTCTAGGTTCAAATCAGCACGCTACTCCAGAGAGCCCAACTTGAATTCTTGTTTCAGGTTCAGTGTGGCGACTTTCCTCACTTGTTGGTGTACGGTCCATCAGGAGCAGGGAAGAAGACCCGCATCATGTGTTTACTGAGGGAACTGTATGGACCAGGAGTGGAGAAACTTCGCATAGAGCACCAAACTGTCGTGGTGAGAGGCTAATGAATGGAAAAACTTGGCTAATAAACTGTGCAGTACAGAGCAACCTTTAAAAAAAATCCACAGATGTGTTTATTGTAACTTGTTCTCATCTATAAGTTTAAATTGTCTAAAGATTCAAACGATGCAAAGAGATCCTAACTCCTTTTTTTGTACAACAGGCTCCATCAAAGAAGAAAATAGAGATTAACACAATAGCCAGCAACTATCACTTGGAGGTCAACCCAAGGTAACCTTGTAAAAAAGATGACTTTCCTCTGTTTTTGTCGACTTTAAAATTCAGTTCAGATTAATTTCACTGCTTCAAAAAAGACTTCAATTTACTGACGTCTGTTTGGTTAGAGAAGCTAAAACAGTTTTAAGGTGTTTTCTTTCCTTATCGCAGTGATGCGGGAAACCAGGACCGTGTGGTGATTCAAGAACTTATTAAAACAGTGGCTCAGTCCCAGCAAATCCAGTCGAGCACCCAGAGAGACTTCAAAGGTAACAAACATTTGTGTCATTGCAACTCAAGCGCAGTTTGACGCAGCTGTGAGCACTGAATAAATGAATTATCCAGTTCATTTTTTATGATTAGTAGGCCTGTCGCGATAAACAATAAATCAATTATTCGCATGATAAATGAAAATTGTCGACCTCGTTTTCATTTATCGGCTTTCTCGTTTCTTCGTCTCTCTCTTTCTACTGAAGACACTGAAAGACAAAAGGATCCACTCTGGTGCTCTTTACTAACTCCTCCCTTTCTCTTTAAAATCTATTTTAACGATCCAAAATCGCGTTTTTGGATCGCTAAAAGTAGCTAAACTGAGAAGCTAAGCTAACAGGCTGACCTCGGGGAAAAAAGCCTCCGTCTTGTCGAAGCTCCAAAATTCACAGTTGAATTCTGTGCCTTTGTGTAAAAAGTTTTTCTCTGCAAAAAGAAGCCGAGAACTTGTTTACTGATTTTTATTTTTTTATTTTATTAAACGCTTTGTGTGAAAATGCTATGCTAAAGAGCTCAAACCACACCGAACGTCCGCCATTTTGAGAACCAAAGAGAGACAGCCCATGTCGCGTCAAGTTGCCTCCCTCCCATTTTTCTTAAAGAGACGCTGCTCGCTCCCTCTCTATCCATCCTTCGGTGCAATAGTCTTATACTGCTATCTGGTGGTTCAAAAATGTACTACATGCAAAACAAATAAAAAAAAATCTTCTTAAATTTGACAGTTCCTAATTATTGTCAAATTTCAAACAGTATTATCGTTTATCGCAATAATTTCTAAGGCAATTAATCGCCCAGCAACATTTATCGTGACAGGCCTAATGACTAGTATAATTTTTCTTGTGGAAACTGGTTTCCATATATGCCTGTAGCCTTTTATAGCAATAATAAATTAATTAGCACTCTCCTCTCAGTGGTGTTGCTAACAGAGGTGGACAGACTCACAAAAGATGCTCAGCATGCTTTGCGTCGCACGATGGAGAAGTATATGTCTACCTGCCGCATCATCCTTTGCTCAACATCCACCTCCAAAGTCATTGAGCCAATCAGGAGCCGTTGTCTGGCGGTCAGAGTTCCTCTGCCAAGCACAGAGGAGGTGAGAAGGGTTGGAACAGTTTTAGGGTTTAACATCGGATATATGTTTGTTCGGGAAGTTAATTTGTTTTTCATTTCCAGGTCTGCAGTGTACTGACATCGGTGTGTAAAAAGGAGGGTCTGCTCCTGCCCCCCGAACTGGCCAAACAAATCAGTGAGAAATCCGGGCGCAACCTCCGCAAAGCCCTCTTGATGTGCGAGGCCTGCAGAGTGCAGCAGTGAGTTGTGACTCTTCTAGTAGAAGTGGATCATTAGTAACTATTTGCTTATAAAGAGTGTGATGACCTCCTCCCAAGGTATCCATTTTCAGCCGACCAAGATGTTCCAGAGACGGACTGGGAGGTCTATCTGAGAGACACCGCTAATGCTATCGTCAGCCAGCAGAACCCTCAGAGGTACGGAAGAGGACAGAAGGGAGTGGGGAGTCCCTTTATCAGGAGAACGTTAATCTAACTGTGATATTTAATACAAATCCCCACCCACTTCTGTTCCAGGCTGTTAGAAGTTCGAGCTCGGTTGTACGAGCTGCTGATTCACTGCATTCCTCCTGACATCATCATGAAGGTACAGTTTTCTACACCTCAACTCCCCATCACAAGTTTTTCTGCTTATTTAAAATATAATAAACAGTCATTCATGTTTCATCGTCTAACAGAATTTGGTAAACGAGCTGCTGAACAACTGCGACGGGCAGCTGAAGACAGAGGTGGCTCACCTGGCAGCGTACTATGAACACAGACTACAGCTGGGCAGCAAGGCCATCTACCACCTGGAGGCTTTCACAGCCAAGTTCATGGCCATGTACAAGAAGTTCATGGAAGACGGGCTGGACGCCATGATGTTTTAAGTGTTCAGTGGACTTGTAGAGTTCAGAAGCTCTTGTAACTTTCCAACACGACTTTCAGAGAGTAACTATCAAATGTGTGAGAAGTTTGGTTTATGTTGAGAATTGTTGCCTGTATCGGCAGCTTAATGCACCGTTTAAGGTAAAAATGACAAAGTAGCAAACAAAGCTTTGTAATAAAATATGATGAGTCACAATAAAAATGTTTTTTTTACATGTGGTTGCTGCTTTACAGTTAACACAAAAATTCAGCCATGAAACTTTAGCTCCTGATCTCATAAAACAGCAATAACAGAAGCAAGTGACCACCTTCTCTCTACAAAACCCCTACTAGCTTTTATTCTTTGTAAAAAAAAAA